TGACGCCCGCGCAAGCACAGGATGCGGTAGACCTGCTGTACTGCTTTTTGGTGCTTACGATGATGACGACGACGGAATCGAAATAGCTGCCATGCAGCTAAAGAAGTAGCGATCCGCGTGAAGAAGAGCCGGCAAAATTCTACTGACTATTTTTCTTCGAAGGGACCTGTAAACTGATCTGTTGGATTTGGGGGAAATAATGTGAATTTCTCTTTATTATTGTGCTAGTTTTTTGCCTTCTGACGACCACTTTAATCTGAGCGGAGGGCAGCTGTGATATTCGTTGGCAAGTACATTCTTTCTTTTTGGCTAACTGTTGGTAGAAATGAATATTGGATATAACGAAATAATGGTGATAACGAAGTAATTACGACTTCTCCTTCAAATTTGTTATAACGAGGTTTGACTGAATATCAAAAGCACCATGGTAGTGTTCGGCTTCTACAAGACCCCTTGTGCTTATCGGCTGCTCTCAAGCCAATATTCTCAAACACGGCTGGATCAAAAAGCACATGAAAGATACCTAAAATTAAAGCTTAGGTTCAAAGAGAAACTAAGAACCACCAATGGCAGCTGTCTAGACCTGTGTATTAAAGTTGGCGTTTTGATCAAGCACCTCTAACTATCCCTGCAAAGCAGCAGGGTGCCTTTTTCAAGACCAAGCGAAAACCAGAAATTTAATTAAAATGTCTTTAATTTCAAAACGTAATTCCTCGTACACCACCTCAAGAAACCAAGCCGCCCAGAACGAGACCCTCGCTAAGAATGAAAGAAGTGTACATTTAGGAGCTCGTTTTCCTTCTAGAATACATTTATATATTACATCTCATTTATTGTGTCTATCAAAAAACGAGTCCTTAATGACACAGTTATTCCTTAACATCTTGTTTTTTCTTTCTCATTCTTTGGGACGTGATTTGCAAAATGGTCGATGGTCAGATGTGAGTTGGGCGAAAATGCAACCTCCTCAATCACCTGTTTTAGAAGCCCAAGTTTAAATCCAACTAGATGTGCTTGGTACACCGATACTCCACTCAGAAAGAAAGGCTAAATCGGATACGGAAACAATGGAGTTTGAGGCACAAAGATACCTCCCTTTGGATACAACCCGGCCTCCTTCTTGCTACGTGCAATACATCAAACCACCGCTTTCGAAGTGGACAACCCCTTCTAGTAAGCAGAGGTCCGGACCACCTTAAACAATTTTAATGGGAACTCCTCCTCGGACCCGGATGGCAATATAAACAATACACTACGAAACTTAGACGATGACTTTGTCACCATCTTCACCAAAGAAAGCAATCGTATCTCGAAGACGGAGACTTTCCCTGAGCGTTGGAATATGGCATCAGTGGTTTTCATACCTAAGCCTGGCCGTAGTCCCAGTCATAGCAGATTACGACCCATTTCACTGACACCTTGTATAGGCAAGGTCGTGAGCATGTCATCAATGATCGGATATCAAAGCACATAAAGACGACTATAACCTGTTTCCATAAAACATGACAGGTTCTGACCACATCTATCTACTCAGTACGTCATGAAAATTTTGAAGCATCACATTAGAGATCAGAAGACGAAAGACATTGAAGCCATTCCAGGTCTCGATCTTGAAAAGGCATTTGACTGTGTCTCGCACTCCCACATGTTCGCCACCATCTCTTCTCTCAACTTAGGAGTCAACTTTCACGAATTCACAAGCTCGTTCCTCAAGAATAGAAAGGCCACTATACAGATAGGGGATCTCAAGTCTAAGCTCTATGATCTCGCTTCTTTCGGCACCCCGCAGGACTCAGTCGTCTCCCCACTGCTGTTTAACATTGCAATGTGCGGCTTTGCTGCGAAGCTCTCAAACCAAGAAGGCATCAAGTTCGCCATCTACGTGGACGACATCAACATAAGAAGTGTCGGTGGCTCAGAGGGTTCTGTGGAGAGCTCTTTTCAAGAGGCCGTCGACTGTGTTGAAATTTACGTGAAAAATAGGCCTCAAGCTCTCGCCGTCAAAGTTCGAACATATCCTATACCGAGCCACCAGACAGGAACCAAACCTGAAAACTGAGAACTACAGGCCGACATCGACATTAGACTGCACACGTCAATGGGGCAGCATATTCCAACGGTGGGCTTCATATGTGCTGTGGACATGATTATCGAGGATAATGGACCGAATGGCCGCACGTTCTACCATCTCAATTCTAAGGCGGAAGGGGTCATTCGACTAATCCAACGCATTTCCAACAGTCGGGGTGGTCTTTGAGAGGACAAGCTCCTCTGACCGTTTTGGCATTTTTGATGAGCCACATAAGCTATGTCGCATCTATGCACAGTAGGCAACTTCCTCAGAGAAATAACTTGAACTTCTCATAAGGAAAAGCATCAAGAACGTTATTGGCATTCTTATGCGGACAAGCACTGTGAACCTTATGAAACTTGGAGTCCGCGACCTGCTTGAAGAAGTTATGTAGGCTCAACAAACGGCGCTGGTTTCCAGGCTTTTGATCATACACACGCGGAGAAAGATCCTGGTTGACACTGGAGTCAACCCCCTAACACTCGAAGTGGAAGATATGCCACTTGATCATCACATACTTTCTCGCACCAAAGTGTGTCCCCTTCCACGAAACATGCATCCACAGTACAACGTGGGCAGGCGTGTCACTCGAGCCTCTTCTCTTTTAGTTAATGCTCACACCCACTCGTCTCTTTCAAGCTTTGTTGAAGCCACCCCTTACGGCCTTTCCGCTCACTTTGCTGTAGTATCCATAGATACTAAGGGTCGCAATTTATCCTCAGCGTTGGTTCAAACGACTTCTTACAAAGCAGAACAGATGTCATCGCACTAGCTCTTCTTTATCCACAAAAAAACTGATTATTCTACGGACTTGAAATCCGCTGCTAGGGCCTTCGCTTCTGTTGCCGTGTGCAAGGAAGTTTTGAGAGCTCTCGCTCACAAGGAACTCACCCATCACACTATGAATTGGTTCCCTGCTCACCTTGACTTGAAGGTCGGGGGCCTTCTCAATGTCAACGAGCTAGCCCACAGCAAGGCACGAGGCTTCACTTACCGCGTCGGCACTTGTGCTTCTCAGACAAAGGAATCAGCCCCCAACTTTCATTTTAAGACATTTCAACTACCTTCAACGAGATTAAAAAGCACTATCAATTAGGCCGTAGGTCCTTTCCACTGCCACACGAAAATTTGTCTAGGCCACAGGCAATCTCTCTTTGCCTGCTTCAGACGGAAACATACCCTAGCCTCGTAACTTATAGCCTACAGGGCCGTTCCACTCGCTTGCCTTACAGCCGCAACGCACGTGCTGGGACCCTTATCGCACACAAGTGGTGGGGGGGGGGGGGGGCAAATGAGCCAATTGGCGACGCTGCGGAGAGTGAAAGAGCTTCGCCCATTGGCTTATTTGTCCCCCGATTGTGTGCGGTAGGGGTCCAGGCACGAGCGTTGCGGCTGTGCGGGTAGCGCGTGGAACGGCTCTACTCCAATATTTCAGAACTTTACTCGGACTGCCGCAATCGTCGTGATTTTAATCCCATGCTCTGGAGGTGCCCCTCTTCACAATAAAAAAAATGGAGAATTTCCTGAAGATTTCTTTCATTTAATGCTCACGTGTCCGGTTCTCATACAACTCAAGGCTGTCCAGAAGGCCCACGATGCGGTGTTGAGGCCAGGCCTCCCCGTGCTTATGTGGGAGCGGCCCACAACTCAACGCCTATAAAACAGGGATCGAATCCTTCAGCACCCTAATAAAGTTTTTCATCCATTCATCCATCTCTCTTTTCCAACTTTGAATCCTAATGCCCTTCCCCACGCAGAGTAGGGAGTCAGCGATTTGCATGTGCGGTCTAAATTATCTGCTTTTCAACAAAGAGCTTTCTTTCTCTTTCTCAATCTTTCAATATGGTGGGGAAGGCTGCACTGTGATTTTAGTGCATGAAGTACGACTTCAACACTTTGCTGTGCGTTTTCGTGCGTGTGTATACAAATTTAAGAAGTTGATGTACCGCCACCCCCTTCCCTATTGGTGGCCTTTCTTGATAGGCCTACGTTCAGCACACGCAACCTGGTAAATATATGTGGCATTAATCGGGAAAAAGAGTTTTACAGTTTATGCGGTGCTTTTTTTCATCAGAAATTTGCACATCTTCGCATCCTGCCAATGCCGCGCTTTCTACGCTTGGTATGAAATGCTCGTTGCATGAAGTGGGCCACGCCAAGTCAAGTTTACACTGTTAATGATGTTACCATTCATAGGGAACTATAGCATAAATGCAACCGCTTCTTTTAAAGAGCAGACGCGCACGTTTGGCCATTGACTATGTAAGGTGTATTAACATCTATTGTTGGTTATGCTCATATGCGATAGTTTCTGTGTCAGCACTTCTTGCCGTCTCACATGTAGGCTCATTCATGAGGCCCCAGTAATGAATTCTGCCTCGAACATTCAAGGTTTTATATATCATGAGGACATTTTATTCATTTTTATTTGTGTTATGACTGCAATACCTCAGCGCAGTGGGCCTCTCACCGACGAGACCACCAGCCGATCATGTCTGGCTCTATGGGCCCGATCATAGCGCTCTGTTATTGTATTTAGCGGAAGCAGGTATTTCGGGCAATCGAAATGGCCACAATTCTGCTGAGGGATCAGAATCAAGCTTTAGAGGTCAGAAGAGGGTGAAAAATAACTATCACGATGAAGACCAATACACCTAACAGCTTTTTTGTATTATTTATAATAGATTTATTTCTTTTTTATGACGGTGAAGGTGAGCTGTACTCAGGCATTTCCCGTTTATATTTTTCGCATAGGTTTTTCTCACAAGTGCCTAAATCAAAGAGCATGGTCGTCAGCGCTATAGCACAGCCGTTTAGTCGCGATGGTGGGTCCTATTGTTTATGTGGAGCTTTTCGATATCAGTTTAGCCATTCGATTGTAAACAATTCGCTTTCAAACTGACGAACTAATTCTATTCATGTATTTCAGTTTTCGACGAGGAAATCACGCCCTATGCGACTTTCCAACTGTCCCCAACTAAGTGCAACATCGACGACGACGGGGAAGAGTTCAAGACTTTCACTATTCATCACGGAGAACCACCGTATCTCGCCAAGGTTGGTGCTCGTGACAACTGCTTTTTTTAGCAGGTAGTATTACTTTCAAGCTGTTACGCTCTAATTGATCAGGCTTTTTCTTGTGGCGCCACCCTCACTGAGAAAAGTGGGCTCTTTTCTGAAATCGTGCAATACTGGGTCGACCTAGTAAACATGTGAGGCTGCCTTAAAGTACCATTTAACGTGCCCAGGAACCACCATAATATGTTTGTTCAGGCGCTCGAAAAATAAAGCAATAACAAAAGAAACATTACAGTACAGTCTACAGGAAAAATATGAAAGAGAGCAAATAGCGCAGACAAAACAAAAGCAGTGCAAAATTGGAAGACTGAAAGACAAGGCAAGAATCATAGAATGGCAGCAAATAATGACGGAGAATATGCACTACAATGTGCACAATGTGAATATGCAAACCAATGTGCGCAAAGGGGAACATGCACAACAAGGTCTCCCGAAAGACGCAAAAGAAAAGAATTTGTACATTGTGAAGAATTATGGTAGTACAGTGCAAAGTCGAGAAAAACCAATGGCAGTAGACCGTGAAAAGCATCGATATCGCAAATGTCAACATTATATAGACTTCGTAATCTGTCACCACTAGAGTTTTGAAAGAAGTTGGCAAGTACAAAAAAATGGTCGATTCGCTTTGGATAATTTACGCAGAGTCCAAAAGTTCACACAACTGAGAAGCAAAGGGAAGGGTATCTTACTGTGAACAAGTTTGTAAAGAGACAAGAGGTCAGCGCGATTTTATCGGCAGTGAACTGACGGCAATGATTATAGTCTGGCAGTGTTAGAATGTGTTTCAGAGTCATTTCTATATCAAGGATGGTTTTATATGTTTATGAATTTTCGCCAGACTCACTCAATGGCGTCACTGCCAGATTTAGCGATGCCATTTCAGATGACAGATGGATGCTCAAGTGGAGAAAGACATATTGCGGTGTACAATTCTTCAAATGCTGTAGCAGAACAGAATTCTCGAGAGATTCTGCAAACGCAGCCGAGAGAACGCAGGCATCGCGTGGCGGAATGTTTAGTGTGAGAGGAAAAATTTAACATGCTATCAAATAGAACACAAAAATCACTGAACTTACCAGTTTGGGGACCTCAGTGGAACCTCACATTACGACACGGTATTGACAGAGTATAGAAAATCACGATGTTTTTTTTTTGCGAGATTTACTCATGAACTTGGTCTTTGACGTACTCATGAAAAGGTTATAAGTTATTGGTGTACACCCTTCGCAGAAAGGGCACTGGTCCGACTGAAGGAAGCGACAGTCGTTAACTTAATGAATTTCGCTAAATACTTTCATGTCATCGACATACACAACAAAATGAGAATAACGAATTGCAAAAGAAATATCAATAAAGTTAATAAAAAAAATATAGGGCATGATACTGACCATTTACCCACAGGGGCGTCTGCGTAAGGAATCGTTAGGTGTGTAGTGACAACGCGTACTAGAGCTAATGGGGGGGGGGGGTTCTCAACAGAGAAGAATTGGCCACCCTGGTGCATTGTCTGGTCACTACCTCCCACAAGCATACGTCAATCACCTCATGGCCCTCGATCCCCAGCAGCTGTGAAGCGGCTGACCACGGCGGCGGTGAGATCTGTAACGCAGCAGAAGGTGCTAAGAATCTCTGGATCCGGACAGCCCGCCATTCGAACCCAAACAAGGCAACGTTTAATGCTAGAACCTTATGTAGCGTGGCAAGTTTAGTTGTACTAATCGTGGAACTGGAGGGTGTAAATGGGATATAATAGGGCTCAGTGAAGTTAGGAGGACAAATGTGGCCTATATGGTGCTACAGAGTGGGCACGTCCTTTGCTATCGGGGCTTGGCTAAACGAAGACAACTGGAAGTGGTTTTCCTAGTTCACAGAAACAAACTGGCAACATAGAGGAATGCTATACCATTAATGAAAGGGTGGTAGGTGCATAAATAAACTCAATAAGAGATACAAGATGAAGGTGATACAGGGTTACACGCCTGAATCCAGCCTTGATGACGCTTCAGTTGAAAGCTTTGAATAAGGTAAAATCACAATATACTATACTGATAGGAGACTTTAATGCAAAGGTAGGGAAGAGGCACGCTGGAGACCAGGTAGTAGGAGATTACGGATGGTACTAGAAACGCCAGGGGAGAGCTACTAGTAGAATTTGCAGAACGCAATAATTTACGGATTTTGAATACCTTCTACCGAAACGAGGAAACCGTAAATGGACATGGAGGAGCCCTAACGGCGAAAATAGGAGCGAAATAGACTTGATAGTAAGTGCACACCCAGGCATCGTGCAGGATGCTGAAGTAGTTGGCAGTGTACGATGCAGTGACCATAGATTGGTAGGGTCTCGAATTCGCATAGACTTGAAGAAGGAATGACAGAAACTGATACGCAAGAAGGCAATCAATCAAATAGCACTGAGAGGGAAAGTACAGGAGTTCAATGTCTCGCTTCAGATCAGGTACTCGGCTCTTATTGAGGAAACCAACCTTAGCGTACATACAATGACTGATAATCCGACGAGTATCATTACGGAGGGTGCAGTGGATGTTGGAGGCAGGGTAGTTAGACAGGCGACAGGTAAGCTTTTCGAGGAAACAAAGAATCTCATTAAGGAGCGTCAAAGCATGAAAGCCTCAAGTATAACAGCCAAAATAGAACTGTCAGAGCTTTCGAATTTGATTAATAAGCGTAAGGTATCCGATGTAAGCAGGTAGAACATGAAGAGAATCGAACATGCTTTGAAAAACGGAGGAAGCGTGAAAGCAGTGAAGAGGAAACTTGGGATAGTGAAAAAAATTGGATGTATGCACTACGGGGCAAAGAAGGCAAACTACCTACCAATATAGATAGGATAGTTAAAATAGTGGAGAAATTTTACAGAGGTCTATACAGTGGCCGGGACAACCACGACCTTAATACTGTGAGATCTAGTAGTAACCCAGATGTCACCCCACTAGTAATAATAGAAGTCAGAAAAGCCTTGGAGAGCATGAAAAAAGGCAAAGCTGCTGGTTAGGACCACGTAACATCAGATCTGCTGAAACATAGAGGACAGATTATGTTAGAAAAACTAGCCACACTGTTCACGAGGTGTCTAGTGACAGGAAGAGTACAAGACTCTTTGAAGAATGCTAACATCATCTTAATACGGAAAGTAGATGACAAGGACTTGAAGAATTACTGGCCGATCAGCTTGGCCGATCCGTAGTATACAAGCTATTTAAAGGTAAGTGTTAACAGAGTTAAGAGAACATTAGAATTCAATCAACCAAAGGAACAAGCAAGATTTCGAAGAGGCTACTCAACAATCGACCTCATCCATACTATAAATCAGGTAATAGCGAAATGCTCAGAATAAAGCCTACTCCTATACATAGCCTTCATAGATTACGAGAAGGCGTTTGATTCAGTAAAAATATCAGCCGTCATGCAGAATCTGCGGAATCAGGGCGTAGATGAAGTATATATAAACATTCTGGAAGAAATCTACAGTGGATCAACTGCTACCGTAGTGCTTCATAAAGAAAGCAACAGAATACCAATCAAGAAGGGTGTAAGGCAGGGGGACACAATCTCCCCAATTCTATTTACCGCGTGCTTACAGGAGGTTTTCAGAGGCCTAGATTGCGAACAGTTAGGCATAAGAATTAATGACGAGTACCTTAGTAACCTGCACTTCGCCGATGACATTGCATTGCTGAGTAACTCAGGCAACGAATCGCAACTCATAATTACAGAGTTAAACAAGCTGAGCAGAAAGGTGAGTCTTAAAATTAGTCTGCAAAAAACTAAACTAGTTTACACCAACCTCGGAAGAGAGCAGCGCTTCGAGATAAGTAATAGCGCACTTCAAGTTGTAAAAGACTATGTCTACTTAGGGCAGGTTATAACCGCGGAGCCGAACCACGAGACTAATACAACTAGAAGAAAAAGATTGGGGTGGAGCACTTTTGGCAAGCACTCTCAAATTATCACAGGTAGATTGCCACTACTCCTCAGGAGGAAGGTATATAACAGTTGTATCTTGTGGGTACTTAGCTATGGAGCAGAAACCTGGAGACTTACAAAGAAGGTTCAGCTTGAATTGAAGACGACGCAGTGAGCATTGGAAAGAAAAATGGTAGGTGTAAGCTTAAGAGACAAGAAGAGAGCAGAGTGGATTATGGAACAAACGGGGGTTAAGGATATTATAGTTGAAATCAAAAAGAAGAAACGGACATGGGCCGGGAATGTAGTGCGTAGACAGGGTAACCGCTGGTCATTAAGGGCAACTAACTAGATTCCCAGAGAAGGAAAGCGGGTTAGGGGGAGACAGAAGCTTAGATGGGCAGATGAGATTAATAGGTTTGCGGGTATAAATTGGCTGCAGCAAGCACAGGATCAGGTTAACTGGCGGAACATGAGAGAGACCTTTGTCCTGCAGTGGGCGTAGTCACGTTTATGATGATGTTGATGATGATGGGATTACATATTTATTTTATTTATTTATTACATACTACCGGCCTCATATGGAGGCCTTAGGCAGGAGTGGGGCATAAATACACAACATATAACAAGCTCGAAATATTGAATAAAATGCCCAAACAAAAAAGAAATACATGACTTTGTATTCTGCAAATCAACGGCCTTGGCAAAATGTGCAAAAGCAACGAAAGGAAACCAATTGCACGGCAGTTAGTACTCGCATAGCACAAGGTACTCACATTAAGTATTTACATAGCAGAAAGCATTACAGGTACTGACATTGTACTTACATAGCACAAAATGTCAAAGGAAAAAAAAAAGAAAGTTTCACCATTTATTCGAACACAACAAAAAGAAAGTGAATGGAAGGGAGTACAAGACATTACATGATGCTTCGAGCATAGTGGCGATTAAAGGACTTCATTTCTGATTGCCTGCAGAAAAGAATCAATGTTGGAACGCTCTACCGCATGAGAAGATAAGGCGTTCCACTCGACGATTGTCCGAGGAAAGTA